CCCCCCACCCCCCAAGGAAGCGGAGTTTCCCCAGGAGCTGCTGGACCGACTCTCAAACAGTGAAATCCACAGCATCAGCGACCTCCAGCGGTTACTGGAGATAGACTCCGTAGGTAAATTCTGCCTCTTGATACTCTTCTTCTCGGCAGACATGTGGGGGGAGAGGAAGGGGGTGGGGGTGAACCTCAAAAATCACTGATCTTCTTCTGATTAAGGGTGATTTCTTTGGAAATACCTCAGACTTTTAACTCCTAATAAGTAACAGCTCTCTAGTAGTTATTCATCATCTGGTTAAAAAAAACTGTAGCAGGTGTTTTTARAGTTCACACATGTGACCAAGGTGGACTTTCACTAATATCCTTTAGCTGCAGAATTCCCCCAATCACCTGCGTTATTACACGAAACACTTGTTCTTTTCTTTGTAATTAAAACCAAAATGACATGAATTGCAGGTTGAGCCCCTTTTTTTTTTCTTTAGGAGTCGCTTCCTGTGTGGGAGAGCGTCTTAGATTAAGTTACACTGGTTTACTGAAAGAAGCTGTTTGCCTTCACATGAGCTTCTTTTTACACAGACTCCTGACATATATCAGTTTCAGGGCTCTTTCGGTAAAGATGTGCTCACAGAAACAGGTAATTGCTGCATTGAAAAGCCCTAATTGATGCGGGCTACCTTACTGGTTTTAGCTCCTGAGCAACCACAGAACTTTATTTCTCAAAGCAGCATTTGCAGTTTTTTCATTCAAAAATTTCTAGTTGTAACCATGAACAATATGTGTTTCAGTACATCCCAGAATAGATGAGAAGAGGTGTTTATAATCAAATTAACATGTCTGTCTTCAAACAGAAGTATGTTTTGCAGGGTAACGGTAGTAGGCTGATTATTATTATGAGCACATAAATCTGTCTTGAGGGGGTCAGCTTGGTGGCCCTGGCCAGACCATTAAAAGACCTTTGACGCCAGACAGAAGGGTATTTTCAGAGCTTTTGTTGCTGAAAATCGAGACAGGGAGGCCACCGGCCAGCAGGTTGGTTGTTTAGATCTTTAATATATGTYTACAGTCTGGGCAACCAGTGATTGAATATTTGTCAGTATGACAGTTGATTATTGTATAGTGAAGTTTCTCTTTGTGCAGCTTTGGTTTGTCTCCAGAAGGCTGACGTTTGGAAGTGACAGGATCATTGAGAAGGCCAGAGGCACTTACAGTGACCATGTTACATTTGGTTCCACCATGCTCAGTGCAGACTTGCATTTGTTTTCACACGGATCCCATCTTCAGCTCTGACTGACAGATGAGATGACCCCGTTGAAGACTGCAGATGGCTGTCTGGCCCCTGGGGTGATCCGTACCTTGTTATTTCTCGTCTCTGTCCCCGGTCTCCCTCTTGAGTTGGCCCCTTGCCGGCCTGCTCTTATCTCCTTCAGCGAAGAACTTTGACAGAAGAGGGAACCTGACTCTTGGTGAAGGGGGCAGAGGTGGAGGAGGGAGTTAGAGGAATCTTGAGGTTGTAATCCTGCTTGACTAGGAGAGGCCACGAGCCATTGTTGCGCAATCTGCTTTGTGTCTGACAAGCCAACACTGTTTTTACCTCCAGTACAGCTGGCAGCAATAACTCTAACAGAGCTTCTCACCTGTCTTTATGCARATTCACTCAAAAGTCCTGAGCTAAAACATTAGAGGAATACTGACAATTGTAGAGATCCTTGTTTTGAGAAGACAACACTGTTGACTATTTGTCCAAAGAGAGGGACACAGAAAGAGAGAGGAGGAGAGGAGTAACGGGAAGGAGTTGAGGCCCTCAGCTAATGGAGACAGTAATTTGCCAGTCATGAAAGCCTGATTCATGGCTAGAGACTGACTCCTATCCTCTTTTCCCTTGTCTCACTGCTCTGGGCATGTTATTATCTATTAGTCACCTGGAACCAGGAGAAGAGAAAAAACCTCTCTCCACTCCTCTGCTGTTTTTCTCCTAAATTTTTCTTATGTTTCTCAGCTCATAATTGAATAGTAAATCTGACCCTCCTGCCAAACTTTTTTTTTGTGGAATATTTTTGAGATATCTTTTGGTTACTCTGCAGACTTTAGAAAGAGAACTTCTTTATGTATTTTCTTTTTGTCTGTGGGTGGCCACAGTATCAGATCTTTCCACGCGCTGGGCTTTTTCTGACAGTAGGAGATGGAAATATAAATATAAATTAGATAAAAGAATTCACAATGGGAGTCTGTGATTCAGTGTGAAATATTTTATAAGGTCATWAAATCTCTCAACTTTTGCATTGAAAACCTCTCACACTTTTATAGACTGTGTACAGACAGTGTAGGTGGATGTTTCAGAGTATGCCATGTTTATGTACAGTATGTTCATGTGTCTCCAAGTGTACTGGCCTGGATGATGGATAGTTCAGACCTTTGCGTTGACTCCCAGCTTCAGCTGCAGGCAGCATTTCCATTCATGTGAACCTTTTGGTTCTGGGTCACTGACTGCATGACAAACTGGAAGGAAATTCCCTCAACCTGTTGCTGGAGAGACAACATTGGAGCCTGAGAAATCAACCTGGAAAAAGAAAAGCAATGTAAAGCAGATAAACAACCAGTTCCAGTGGTGGACTGTGTATTGGCAGAGGAAATCCCTTCAGATGACTCTGGTCGGAGCACAGAAAAGCTGGATGTGTGGACTTTGTTTGCTCATGGTTGAGCTTTGTTGAGCTTGTGTACTTAAGGCTTTAGCAGTTCTATGAAGGATGATGAGTTGAGTTTGTCCAAAAGTAAGCATGTGTTCATATGATGTGTAAAGGTATAGAACTGGGGTATGTCATGCTTAAAGACAGGTAGACCCACCCAGTTCGCAAACATAGACACTCTCAGAGCTGTGGGATGAACTTTATCACTTAATTGCTGCTCTGGCACTTTTTCTGCAATCCGCCTTGTATTCTGGGCGGGGACCAAAACAAGCACACATTATCAAATGACCATGAATGTGAAAAAGCTGAACTGGCTAGATTTGTCTGAAGGGAATGCTTTAAGACTTTAGCATTGCAGCGTAGCAAAACATGTACTTTCCCAAACCACAGAGTGATTGAAAAGCAAACATTTTCAGTAAATGAGAGACACAAAGCCACTGATTAGATCAGGAATAACGGTGACTGACCTGTCCTCTGTGAGTCTATGAGAGCTGTTTGTTTTTTTTAAAGTCCATGCTGACTCACACGCGTCTAGATGCTTTTATTTCAGCTAAGAAAGTTCAGCCAAGTCAGTGAGGGAGGCTGACACATAAAGCACGCAATTACACACAGGTCTGTGTAAAATGGAGCCTCCTACCACTGCACTCTGGACTGTTTACTTGAGTTTGTGACACCTCAGAAGTTGCCGTGCTTGCAAGTTCAAGTGAACTGTTGGCACTTCAGTGAATAATACAAGATTATACAAGACACCAGTCAGAAGTTGCCATCTCATTGTGACTGTGGGACTAACCAACACATAGTTTGCTGTGGAATGGGTATACAATGCATCAGCCGCAGATCACATGTAGCCTTATGGTGAGGTCTACRGAGTCACCCACCAGTGTCATTTAACATTGCCATAGCTGCTATGACAGCATTTGTTAAATAAGCTAAATGTCTGCGTGCTGTTATTAATCTGAATTTCTTCTGTTTTTGACGAGGCACGGGAAATGATGTCATTGAGGAGCACAAGTACCGCAAACACCACAACCACCACAATCACCACAAGAACTTCTCTCAACATCAAAGCTACTACAATGGCCTGAAGAGCTCTCAGCTACACAGCAGACGCAAGAGGAGCATTGGTAAGACCGCCAGAGCTCAGAGGTTGCATTATGATTGCATTCGACATCACAACTTAGCACACAGAGTGCCAAAATACCCTAAATATATCTGCATCTGAACTATCACTTGCAACATTGAAGTTCCCAGGAAGATGAAAGAGATCACTTTGCACTAATTTCAAACAAAGCTACCAGTTAGTGGTTTTTACACTGCTTTTTAGAGCATAAAAAGGGAACCCTAATGAACACATCAACCCGGTATTTATTTGCCATCAAGGAATCATGAGAGAGGAGGCTGGTGAGTGTGCATGTGTGAGGTTGACGAGGACGTCTGACACGAAGRCTTTTAATTGGCCCGAGGCTTGCAGATCTAAGACACACGCGTCAGGAGAGYGAAACATATCCCCAAGCGTGGAAATTCCAGACATTCAGGGTTCAAGTTGCAGCTCGTCCAGGCACACAGTCAGATTTCTTCATAAAACGCCACGCGGTACGATATCTGATCGAGGTGTGGAGAATGCCATGTAGTGTGCAGCGTGTGTGTGTCGCCCTGTGAGCTCTCCCAGCAGCAGAACCCCTAAAGCAACATGGGATGAAGTGGCTGCTCGTGTTTCATGTGTGTGTGCTGCATCATAGGATTATGATAGAGTATGCCACTTTGGCAGCTGTCCACAAAGTGCTTTGCATTCTGCACATGATGGACATAACATATTAACAACATAATTATGTTACTGTATATTGTCTTTAGTTTCTCTCAGAGAAATGCATTTGAATTAAATACTTACTGCTTTTCTCATTGTTATGAGCACGAGGTCAAATGCCAGTATTTAATTTCCAACCATTTGAAGTAAAGGTTGTCTGATCTAGTCATGCAACATTAACTGAGTGAGGGGGTAGAACAATGGAGGTCTTTTTTCATATCTCCCATTCTCCTAAGAGTTTTAGTTGATGTGGGATCAGCTTTTTGAGAAGCTTGTTTTCTTAACAGTCTTAAAAGATGTTAGGTTTGATCTGAGACAAGACAAACACCTCTCACATCAAGTGAGTCATCAAATAATGAGCAGTGAAAGAATGCAAGCAGCTGGGAGTTAGACGGATTACAACACTACATCAACACCCCGGTTGCAGTTGGAAAATGTGTCACTAAARGCTGACACGCAGAACAAATGCATTAGCTCGACTTGTTCTGCTTTTCCAGTCGAGGAGGCGGTCCCGGCGGTGTGCAAAACACGAACGGTGATCTATGAGATCCCCAGGAGCCATGTGGATCCCACATCTGCCAATTTCCTGATATGGCCYCCCTGTGTGGAGGTGAAGCGCTGCACAGGCTGCTGCAACACCAGCAACATGCGCTGTCACCCATCCCGCAAGCACCACCGCACGGTTAAGGTAAGACACACGTGTACACCCATGCACGATCACTGCAAAGCATTGCTCTATTGCAAAGCATAAATWRGCAAAATACAACTTTTACTAAATTAAATCACTGCTTTCTTTCATTAGGTAAGTAAAACACATGGTTGCGCTAATACTTGTCTTGCTCTCTTTTCAATCAGCCTATTGCTAGTGAGCTTGTTTTCTCAAATATTGCACACTTAAGCTTTGCCACCCCTATCCCATCTTCTACTAAATTTAAATGGCTCACCACTTATCTTTCCCACCACATTCTSTCTTGTTTGACGAGAGTTCAAAGCAGCTGTGCCAGGACAACGCAAAAGTGGAAGAGGAGGAAAACAAGGAGGGGAGAGATAGTTATTGGCTCTAGTAACCCGGACATCTGCTGAAGGAATGAGTCCCTGCTAAGTATAAGAAAGACAGAAACAGAGTTGTAATGTGAGGGGAAAACATTTCTGGATCTTGAAAGTGTCTTAGTGTCACTGGAGACTGTGAAATGCTTTTCATTTGTTTATTCTTGTGTTTTTTTTTCTGGAKGCAATGGGCCAAGAATAGACAAGGTGACAGTGAGAATGAGAGGGAATCTGGAACTCCTTGGCATTGCTTGCTTGAAAACACGTTTCTCTGTTCAGGATCAGAGGAGACACAGTGACTAGAGAAGGGATGAGTTGATGAAGTATTTACACTACAGCCATTTAGCTGGTGAGTGCTTGTTAGGAGGTAAGAATGATGTGATCTGCTTTGTGAAAGAAGGGAACAGCTATGGCATAAACAGGATAGCCCCTGTCCATACCCACACTTCATTACTGTTGCAGACGTTTTGATTTTGTCCAGCCACTGGTACTGGCAGAACATTGGATTTCCGCCTGATAAATAAGCAGAGTAATAAAACACATGCCAGTCCTTGGCATACGGGAAAAGCAGTAGAGATTTCAGTAGATTCATGAGGATTTAACAGTGGATTTCCTCTGAKAAGATGGCCATTGTAGGACACAAGGCTTCGCAAACAGGGTTTTTGGTCTGAAAGCTGACTCATGTTGCTGGGAGAGACTCAAGCTCCGACATACAGCTCTTTCCTGTGTGTCAGTCTGTCTGCAGCCGTCTCTCTGTCTACTAGACAGTTGGTGTGCGTTGTCCTCAATAGGAGCTCTGTCTGTGATTGCAGTGATGAGGAGGGACGGAAAGACACTGACGACGGCATGCGCGACACTAAAAAGGCTCGATTCAGCYATTCCTGGAATGTTGTACTACATGCAGCTTTGTTTGTGTCCCCCTTTTGACACTGATGACTGAATGAGCACACAGACTTGAGAGGAATATTTGGGGGTGATGAGGAGGGGTTCAGGCTGGGAGGGGGAGTGTTCTGTTCCATGTGGTCTTCGCCGCTGGCAAAAAAAAGGCTGAAAGGCGTTGTATGAGGAGGAAAGGTCATCCCTCAGGGCTTTCTCCAGTCAGGAAACATTTACCACATTGTATGTCAGAAACTTTGTGTCATTCCAAGTTCTCTTCTATACATCATTTCAGTCTGAATGGGGGTTCAATTACTTCTGTTTATTTATTAAAAAGCTAAAAATTCTGTCCATTTTGAGCCTGGCTAGTTTTTCCTGCTGCATGCAGGGTGCTAGAAAATAAGACACTAGCAAGTTCATTCCACTGAAATGTAAATCGCGTAAACAAACAAAACAGTGTTCTTAATGAACACATCAAAATAAACTTTTAGACTCCTCCATGGCAGCATTACTTTAACTTGTCATCTTCATCTCCTCAAACGCAACATTTCATCTTCCGTTATTCTCACCGCTTCTCTTTTAATTGTGGTAACTTCTTACAAAAGATCCTAAAATATCCAGAGCAGCATGCTTTAAAAACAAAAGGAACACTGCCCCCTCCCCTCCCCCCCAGGTCGAAAGATTACAGTAGTGACTCAGGGATAATCAGAAAATATGAACAGCTCACTACATTTACAAACAAAGCCTTGTTTTTGTTTAAACATATGGCCTCTTAATCACAGATCACAATGAAATTCAATTGTGTNTTTTTTTTCTCAGCATCAGTGAAGCGCCTCTCGACAGCTGCAGCCAAAGTGGACTTCATTGTTTTGATCCTGTGATCTTCACCAGTGTCTTTGTTTAGGAGTCTCAGAAGCACGGTCACAGCAGGGYTGACGTCTTACTACTGTCACCTGAAAATACCTCCACACCGCTGACATAACGCCTCCTCTACAAACTGCTTACTTGTTAAAGTTTGTTCAGCTCGGCTAACGTGGTGGTCGTCTTCTTCTTCTGWTTTTTTTATGCGGCTGGCATTAAGTCTGTTGCGCGATTCCGCCGCCTGCTGGTTTAGAGCGTCTATGCACAAACTAAGTGAAAAGAAGCTGGTATCGGTCCTGTAGTATCGGAGCACTTTTATAAGTACGAGTACGAGTTAACGCACATGGTATCGGACCGATACCCGATACTGGTATCGGTATCGGTGCATCCCTAAAAAAAACAATAGAAAACAAGAATAAAAAGAAAATGCTCAATACCTATGGAGAAAAACACAAATATAATCTCCCCAAAATAGATATGAAGTGCTAAAACGTATTCATGTTTAAATTCTATTGTGATAGAGACTGAACTATTTGGGGGCACAAATGTCAAAAATAGCAGCAACATATAAAAACTGGCATCAGGATGTGCTTTTATCTAATTGTTTGGCAAATCATTGTTCCAYTTTAGTTCAGTTTATCTGATTTAGTTCTGTTTACCAGCTGAAAACCTTTAATTGGCCTTAAAGCAAGTATTTTGCAGAGGTCACAGTGGGTCATTAAGGCACATCTGTGTAAACCACAGTAGAAGGTGTGTACGTGTGTGTTAAACTGCGAGGGAACGAGAGCGAGTACTTGATGCTTCGCTGCATAAACTCCCCCGACCACAGAATGGGGTCGAGGCCATTTGTGTGAAGCTGCAGCAAGAGGAAGACAAGCCACAAAGTAATGAAGTGTTGATGGCTACTGGATCAAAGTGGCGGATGACAGAGGCCAGGCGGAAACAGCCACAGCGCCTAGTGTGGGGGTCCTCACATCTCTCATCGCCAGCACTGGGCCCCGACCCCTCCACACACACAAACACACGCAGCTACCTTTGCGACGGAGGGTCATGTCAGAGTGTTGGGGGGTAGCGGTAGCTGTGTACCCCTGCAGTGCAGAGGGARGCTGACTTACGGGGTGTTTCATAAATAAAAGTGTGGTGGTGATACAGTGAGAATGATTTATGATCGTTTGAAGAGCAGGATGGAGAGATATAGGGGGCGAAGGGTGGGGAGGGGGTTCAGATGGGAGTGAGGGGCCTCGTTGTTTGAAGTGCCTTGCAGCTGTGAATTATTTTCCCTTTGATTCACTCAACTCTGAGTAGACGAAGTAGGGCGAGGGACTTTGTGTTTAAAACTGTGTATGTGTTTGGGGGGTTGGGAGTGGAGCACGTCGCAGACCAAGGGAGTATGTTGACCAAGCCAGGAGCCCAAAAAGCTTGGCTACTTCAGCACCGGCTGGAATGTTTCAGCTCCATGCAGGAGAAAATAAGGCAGAAAATTTTAATATAATTTTCCTTATTTTTTCTTATTCTTTAGCTTCACTCCTCTTCTCCTGTCCTCCCTCTTGTGCTTCACCACTGACTTCATCCTCAGTCTCCTCATCTCCTCTATACACAGACCCCATCAGTCTTGGAGTCTGATTGTCTGTTGTGTAAAATATTTGTTCACTCCCTCTTTCCTCTGTTCATCTCTCCTGAAGCACCAACTCTCTAATTTTACCCCTCTGTCAAGCCTCTGCCGTTTACCTCATTTTCTTGGTGCTCTTTCATTAAAAACCTATTCATATTGTTTCACTTTTTGGTGCTCAGCAACACGTCCTTTGAAATTCTAGTTTCCTTTAAATGTACCGAGGAGCTATTTTAGATATTATTACATTAAATGATTCTGCAAAAGAAGGAAAATGGAGCATAGTTTATCATATTTGGAGATAAATTAAAACAGGTGTTTGTGTCAAAGAAATGTGTTCTACCATAAAGAGTTTTTTGGCAGTGCAGCTGTTTTAGACGTGATAAATTTACACACTGGGTGGAATCAGAGGGCAGCAGGTTGCCTTTTTTGAACGATGTGGTTTCTGTGGTTTCTCGTGTTCTTCTTGATGTCACTTTTCTTTCATTTATTTCATATGGCAGGTAGAAATACAAACAGATGCACAAAGCGTCTCCTTTCCCCTTATTTTTGTCTGGTTAGTAAACACTGAATGTCTCTGTAGCCTCATTTCCCTCCTGATGGATGAATTGCGACCTCACCATGCCTCTTTCCACCCCTCTATTCTGCAAACATACACTGCACTTTTATTTATTTTTGCTCCGTTCTGTTACTGTTCTAGTTTGCCATGGCCCGCGGTGCACATCCACATCCCCGCTGTGTTTTGCTTGGAAGGCCGGCGCAAAACTTTCCCCTCTTTCGTGCTCTCATCAGTGTTTTGAGCTCAGGGAATTCCCAATTAGCCTGACTTTGGATAAATGGCTTCACACAGAAGAGTTGTGGTGACACTGGGGACAGACCAAAGGGGGTGTGCTTCCCAGAGCCTCATGTCTCGCCCCCCTCAACTCCCTGGATCGGATATCATTCCACAACCACTCAGGGGACTCTTTCTCAGGGCCCCTGGCTTTCCAGGGAGTTTAGAGCAGTTTGATTTATACAAAGAGAGTGAGGGGCCCCTTGTCGTAGCATTGGGGGTCTATTTCTGATGTATGTTTTAAGTCACTGACTGTGTGACATTGGAAGCTAGTCTTAAACAGCATAATAAAACTGATCGGAACAAAAAAGTATTGTGAAATAAGTAGTAAATGGAAACAAAAGAAGGCTTCCTTCTGTGAAAAGTGAAGTGACGTACACAATTAAATGTAAATAAACACCAGTGGATACGTGAGTATCTGCTTATTTGTTTTAAACCCTGCAGGGAATGTTTTAGCCCTGCTGTGTGAGAGACAAGTGCACTGCTGGGCTTCACATCAAGTGAGCCCACTGCTTCATCCTTCTGTCAATAGTTGTTTGTGTTGCCACAGGAGTTGCTGTGTGTGTTAGTCATTGGGATCAGCATCAGTAGTAAGGGTCAGACATGGCTCAGTCCTTTTTTTTTTTGTTTCCTGCTGGCAACCTCTGGAGCCCCCTCAGCCCAGACGTTCCTGTAACCAACAGCAGCAGAGCTGTCCACAAAAGCAGCTGCATCTTTCATCTCTTTCTTTCCCTTCCTCCCCGTTCTTCCTTTCCAGGCAGATAATTTGATTAAACATTGGCAGCGATTTTTGGAGAAACTCGTGCCACTCGGTGATGCTCTGTGTGGTTTCAGCGAATAACAATAAACCTTTGATGATTTTTCTGTCTGTCACGTCAGTATTAGTTTAATCAGTTTCTTTAGTAGGTAGCCCAGAAATGAGATGTTAATAGGTAACACATGAATGCCACCTAATACAAGTCATGATCATGGTTTGTCACACCTCCCCCTCCTCAAATAACTTCCTCTATTTGTGCACATGCACATACGCTCTTGTGTTCTCTAATGAGAACGGCGGTTCAACTTCCCACTCTGCGCTCTTCCTCGCCCTGGCCTTTCACCCGCTCTCCTTCTCTTTCATGGCTCGGTAACAGCAAACACACCAACCAATAACACAGACACTATTGTCTTATGTTTGCTCACCACSTACCTCCCCTGCTTGCTTATCCTCATTTCACTCCATTTCTTTCTTCTCATTTTCCAAACTTAGAAATTGTTACAGAGTAGTGGGTGTTAAAACTGCTCGCTCCTCATGTCTTTTTGCCTGAGTTCCAGCTGCACCAGACCCCCCTACAGGGGTCTCTCTCTCTCTCTCTCTCTCTCTCTCTCTCTCTCTCTCTGGATTTCAACAAACAAATTTCCTATATCAGACAAGGATTGGTATGTTGATTTGTTTGCATGACTGGCTCTCCAACAAGAGCCAAGATTGGCAGTATGCCATTATTGGCAGGGGTGCCACCAGTAGGGGCGGCAGGGGCAAGCCCCCCCCCCCCCAGTTTTGTGTGTGTTAAGTTTATTTTGACTGCAAACTGTATTTCTCCTAATATCAGAAAGCGTTGGAAGGTTTTTGGCAGGTGTTCATTTTCTTGTGCAATGACAAGGATAGGTGAGTCTGAGGATTTTGTTTCCACATGGCCCCAGGGCCCTTCACTGTTGCCCTTCAAATCAGAGAGGCAAAGACTTGTGGCTTCCTCCTCTGAGTTGCACAACAGTACCATCAAAGCATTTTTCAAACATTTTCTATTCATCTAATATTTAATCAGTCATGTATTGTTGATAGAAGCTTAGCATATTCATAAGCCTCGGAGTCGTTACCAGCTCTTGGATGGAAACTCTAATCTTTAAACTGTGAGTGTGTTACCTGGAATTAGAGGAATTCTTGAATTCGTTTTATGTTTCTAAGATTGTTTCTTGTGGTTTTACTGCCTAATACTGACCAAATATATTTCTTGCATGCATGCAAAGCAGAACTTTCCTCGACTTATGTAGTGAGATAGTTTAAACTTAACATGTTGGGACAAGGTGAATGAGTTTAGGTGTCTGTTTGGAGTTGGATGCTTCAGGCCTGAGCAGGGGGATCTCCCAGCTTCTTTTCTTCTGCCAGAATAAACCTTCCCAGGACCTTAGGGTGTACAACACTCACCCTACCCTCCATCTCTCCGTCTTCCTTGCCTAGACAGGGACACACACTCCATTCAGTTGCTTACAGACCGTGGAGCACACAACAAGTGAAACCTAATGAATCTGCCTCAGAGGAATGCTCTCGTCACACTTCAAACATAAGGCAGCGCAAAAATCTTTTTTTATGAATTAGTTCATGTATGTGCCATCAGTCACAGAGCCACGCTTCTTGGTGTCTGCTGGTGGGCAAATAATGTGTGCATTCACTGACAACACAGAAAAGAGTAAATATGCTGGAACCTGTGGCTAACCTTTCCCCTCTTCCTCTTCCAGGTAGCCAAGGTGGAGTATGTGAGGAGGAGACCCAAGCTCAAAGAGGTCTTTGTACGATTAGAAGACCACCTGGAGTGTATGTGCACATTACAACATCATGTGGTAGAGCACTTAGACTCAGAAACAGGTAAATATGAGCATGGATTTTCGGCACATGCTGATGAATGTTCCGTCGCCTTTTCTTTTAACAWTTTTTTTTGCAGAAATTCAAACTCCCTCTGAAATTGTGTTTGCTGACTGAATCTCGCCTTCACCTCTTTGTCACCGTGCACTCTTTCCTGTCTTTATCATCAGTGTTTGATGGTCTTTTTTTTCTTTTGTCTTGCTTCATGGCTTTGCACTGTATGACCTTTTGCCACCAACTGCTCCTAAACAGACATAAACACCTGTYAGGAGGCCCACTGTTTGGAAACTGTAAAGCTTGTGTGTTTGAKGAGAATATGTGTGTGTAAACGTGTGTTAAGGGTGAGTGTTCAAAGGCGGCTTGGCATGACAGCAGGTAAATCCGCCTGCGCCTTGATCTGTAGCTTTTCTCCACCTGGGTGCAGATAAGCGCTGTAATGCGTACTGATAAGACACCTGAAGAATTTATGCTCTGTTCTATCTTTGCACTCTGCTTCTGTCCCAGGGCTGGTGTGCCTCTTTATGTGTCATAAACCCTGCTTATTGCTTTTAACCCTGCTTCCTATCCACCCTTCCCAACTTTGTGCTTTCAGGCCTTCGTAGGGCTAAAGGTAAAAAAAGGAAACCTAAAAAGCAAAGGCCCATCAAGGACTTATTGGTGACATAATAAAGTCGCTCTTGTTACCCAAAGTCCACTGGGAGGCTGTGACGGGAACAGGTAGGACTTAAGCACCAAAGCCTTTTGTCACCTTTGGGTGCTGCACTGGCCCAATCAAAGTGTAAAGTGGGCCTGCCAATCACCGTCACCAATCACACCACAGCCAATCAGTGTGAGAAGAGGAGGGTCTAARGAGTATCACGCTTCACGTGCCGATGCTGCCAGTGCTGCCAATGCTGCATGTTGTGCTTTTGACCTTCTGAGCATGCACACTTTGAATAGATGCTTTGTGTCACAGTTTACAATGTGCACTGTTTTGTGTTTGTTTGTTATGAACAAAAGCAGCTATGTTTGTGTTTTTTCACTCCTTAAAGACACCTTTCTATCTTTATTTGCCGTTCATGTTATCAGCCTGTCATCACTSTCTAAAACACAAAAGGGTTTTCTTTGTCCCATCTTCAACTGTGTGTACACACACGCAGGACTCTGACATAATTGTCTGGTCGAATCCAAATCTTCAGAATCTGGAGGGACATGATTCACAACACCGCTGGTCTTTGTGTGTTTTGTCAGAAAATGCATGAGTGAAATAATAAAACTGGCAAAAGAAATCACTTATTTTAATAAAATTTTGAAACAGAAAACAAGTATTTTTTTTTCTTTTGCATCTGTGAAACTAATTTCAGCTTCGTCTCTCTGTCCTGCAGTAGATGTGAGGTGAGACGAGTCAGAACAAGGGATTTCAGCATGGACAGGACCTAAAATAGAAGATGCCATCAAGAGGACACCTTCTCCGTCTTCCTTCCAACTGCCATGCAAACTTTAAGAACATAAACTTTTCTGTAAAGAGACTGAAAAATAAACAAAAACAAATGAGATGCCAAAGGTGCTTTGAAAACACGATGACTGTCTTCACGGCAATGGAACTGTGCTGCTTAAAAAGGTGGGAAGACATGCGGCCACAAAGCTCAGACTGAGCAGAAAAAGGCCAGCAGGAGAGGATGAAAAATGAAGTTGTGATGAACTTTTCAACAAAGGTTGTTTGAAAATATATTCAACTGAAACAGCCTGTTGGATCACACTTTTTGTGGGAATCCTAGTGCTCTACCAGAACATAAGTACGCTGCTTTGTTTAAATGACTCTTGCATACAAAGGAAGAAAGAGTGTGATATAGGAACGACAATACAAACATAAAGGTGAAAAACAGCTGGAGAGCGTTTACTTTTTAAAACTTTTGACCTCTGGTTGTCTGTGACTTTGCCCTCCTGCGATGTACAGTTAAGTTTGAAAAAAAAAAAGAAAAAACAAACAAACAACGGATGTTCTGCTTAGTACAAAGTATTTATGTGTTTGGACATTTTACATTTGTCCCTTTCAATGTTCAAGAAAGGACAAAAAAGTTCATGTTTAATAATTTTGTAGACATGCAAGTGTTCTGTGTGGTCCAGTTCTTTCATTATCACAACCTCAGTGTCATTTTTTAAACCTTTTTTATTTTCTTGTCAACCATGTTTCATATTATATTGCAATATATCTGAAAACTATCATGTCTTGCGTATAAGTTTGGATATAATTATGTGTGCAAGGAGAAGATGTGAGAGTCAGTAAGATGCTTTATTTTTGTTATGAAATATATTATGCATACCTATATCCAAGCAGGAATTATGTTTTTCTCTCTTTTTTTTGTTGTGGTTGAATGGTTGCATTTAATCTATTGGTGGGGGGGGGGGGGGGGGGGGGGGGGGTCGTAAAACTTGAGCAGTTAATATACATCTTAGAAACTGGCTGGCGGGTTTGTGGATCAGTTTGCATCACAGCTGTGAAAAAAGGTGATGGTTTTATGAGATAGAATGAAAACTTCACATTCAGTTGTTGAATACTGTGCCTTATCCTGCAGGCGTGATGAGAATTTATGGAACAAGTGAAATTTCACACATCAGAGTGTACCAGTGGCTGTCATGTAAGCATACAAATACTTTATGGGGACAAAATTGACCTAAAAACGGGTGAAATATTAGATAAGCTACATTTTGTTTTTTATAAAGTAAAATTATAATCAAAATATGCCCCATTGCACATATTTTTAAAATAAATTTAAGTAAATATTTGCAAAGATCTGCTTTGCGTTTATTTTTTATTTTGCAAAGCCCAAATTTATGTTCAGTTCAGCTTGAAAATTCACCATATTTTATTACTAAAACATTTTGTCTGTGATTTTCAAAGTTTGTTTCTCTGTTATAGACCTACATTATCAGACATGATTGGACAAAAAATATATATTAATCTGCTCAAAAAAATACTTTCAATGGGTATGTCAGCACACCTGCAGATCAATCTAGTTTTGTTTATTTCAACTCCGTTCTGACGCACCCTTTTGTTTAAAAACTCTGTTGTTGCCATGGCATCACTCTGATTGACATTGGTCAATAGGCTCAGTCACATGACTGAACTCAATAACTAGTAAAACCTCAAACCTTTCCACAACTTTTATTGCAGTCAAAGTTTTGTTTGGGTACGTTAGTGTCGATAAACTTTCAGCTCAATGTTTTTTAAAATGTTCTGGTTTTTTCATGAAAACACAAAAGAAACTCCAAAGATACATGTGCGTGTGTTCAACATAGTTCTTCCATTCCACGAGGCTGTTTTCCAGCATATCTCTATCACTGATAAAGAAATAGTCCGCCCAGTAAGCTTCAGAAGCACATACGCAGTGCCTCAAAGAGCAAAGTCCACCTTAAAGAGTGAATGAGAGAGAGCAAAGCAAATCGACAACAGCATGAATGGGCTCCTTGTTTGGTCAGGCTTTACTCCCCCGTTGACAGGAGAACAAATCACTCCACCCCATGGAGGGACTCTCGCTTCATGCAGCCACCTACAATCAGGACAGATGATGAGTTCACTGAGGTGGTCTGAAAGCATTACAGTGCTGGCCTGACCCCGTACCCCAACAAAACAAACATCCACTTCCTCACCGGTTCCTCGAACAGGGACGGACATGAAACCAAGGAGGCAACAAATGTCATCTAAGAAAAACTATAAGAAAAATGAATGTCATGTTTGTGTCACCTTCAGTTAATTTGTGGACATGACATCACACAGTAAGCTGACTGATGCTTTATTTGTATGGCAAATATTTCACCAATCTTTACTCCGAGCAAACGTAAGATAACGTCATTAAATCAGGGACCATTAGCGCTATTTGATGAAAATACACTGCAACATTTGTTAAGTTATCACTAAGGCTTTGTTATGCTGGCTTAAGCTTCCATTGGGTAAAGGCAGCAGTAATCATAATTTATATATTTATGTTTTTCAACAATAAATGTATTTCTGCTTATGAAATTGATCACAGAATGTTGCATCCCATAAGTTGTGCCATGTGTTTTAAAGAAAGTTGTTTTAGGATGAATAAAGGATACTTTTAAAAACAGTTTTAAAATTGGCAGAAAAAAAGTAAGTGATTGATCAATATGATCAGAATGTAGAAAAGAAAATCAAAACAGAAATAAAGCTTCGTTGAACCATCCATCTCAATAAATTTATCTGCAGCATTTTAATGAAAACTGACAAAACTAAAAAAAATAAAAAAATAAAAAAATAAATAATTTGTGCATAAATGTGTTGGCTTTACACACACACATACTGCTGCTGTAGGCACACTGTGAGCTGGATATAAGGTAGTGAAGTATAAAGGAAATATGAGCTTTTGTAGGCTTGCAGGGTGAGCAAGACCTGGGCTTTGCTCCAGTATCCAGCAGCACCAGACTGTAGGTTCGTACGGCTTTATTGCTTTTCCCAAGCAGCTCACCCTAATCCCAGGGCTAAGGGACTTGAAAGTCCTTCTTTTTTGCACTTCCCAGTTATACACCCATCTTATAACCTCAGTAGGAAGCCAGATAACGAAAGGCAAAACATGAAAGAGCGAACGGATCAGAGAGACAGCAATTCAACCGGCCGGTAGAACAGGGGATAAAGTCAAAAAGGTAAAGATAAAAGGAAGCATAGATGCCTGATTTATTTTATTGTTTTTATCGGACATGCACAGCTTTAGTCATAAAGAAGGGGAGTGGACTGAAGTAGGGATTTAGCGTGTGCAGGGAAAAGAAAGCAATATGTCATGGTGAGGCAAAGGAGGAGGCTTGGGGGGCACCCTGAGGAGTGAGAGTGCAACGGGATGGAGCCGGAGGGGGGAAATGAAGAAAAGAAGGAATAGAGCGAACTCAGGATGTGGGTAATCGGCACCACAGCAAGAGAGGCCAGACAGGTCAGCACTTAAGTGGACGTGCTTTTATAAACAATACCAGCGGGGCACACAGGTCAGGCAAGGTGTGAAGAGGGCTGCTGAATGGGCTTTATGTTTCTCTTTGTGTCTGCCATGTGCATCTGCAAATGTGTGTGATTGTGCACGCAGCTGGACAAAACAGAGTAGGTGTCCCAGTGTGGAACGTGATCCACTGGAATTTTGGGCTCTTACAGAAACTGTGCTGATGACGTTGCATAGTACGTTTCGTATGAAAAGTCAGACTTTAACAATCTCTCTTCATTTTCCTACATCTCAGATCTTTGGATGCAGTTGTTGTTTTTTATGCAGAACTTAGAGCGCAGCCTCAACAGAATTAACTGTGACTGGTTCCCTCTCAGGGATAGAGATCTTGCTTTCATCCTTCCACCTTCCTCCCCTCTGTTTTTTTCCTGTTATGTTTCTCCCTCTGCTCCAACCTGTGGCCTCTGGGTTTTGAGGAAAGGCAGAGGTGGCCTTTGAAGATGGCGGCAGCCAAGTTTTTCTGGGGCCAAAGCAATGAATGCATGTCTTTGTTGTTCGCCGTTCTCTCACTTCTTCATATCCTCCCCCCTCACTCAGTATCCTCCCTCTGCCCCCCACAAACTCACACCAACTTGCTCATGCCCTCATTGGGGCCCACTTTGAACAAATGACCCTGCTAATTATGTATTTAAGGTATTTGGCTCCTGTGAACCAGCTTTGAGTTAGCGGTGGAAGGCGGCAGGGGCGGCTGGGGGAGAGTAAGATGTATAGGAGCCGTGGTGTGGTCTCATGGCTATCATTACTGCCCAGCGTTGAATGTAAACACTGGATTAGAACAGCAAGGGTTTACTTGAGAAAAAAGACTCAGGAGAGAGGTTATGATCCCTGCCTGCACTTCTGGTTCCGACTCTGGTCTCTGGTTTCACTCCCAGGTAGCACCTCTGCATTTGACAACTTACAATTTCTTAAAGAATTTCCAAAATTTCACAGTATTTCAGGCGCATGCTGTTTCAAAATCCTCTACACCACAACATGGTTCACATTACATAGTTATTCTGGCACAAATATTTTGTTATTCCTGCTGGAAGTGCCACAAACTGCAACATAACTGCTACAGATAGTTGCTGTTGCTGCTATTTGCACTTGAAAATAGCTACAGAATTATTTTCTATGTAAAAAAAAAGGAATGCAAAATCAAGAGATGAGAAGGCTTTATAATAAACAAATGTGTTTGCATAAACAAAGATTTGGCCTCAAGCGAAGTTCAAGCATAAAGGAGTCTTGTTCACAAGTGATGGAAGAAAAATAATGAGGCCATTACTTTGGTTTGTTAAGGCGAATAAAGCTGAAAAGAAAAAAAAAAAACTACTAGTTTCTCTACATTCCAAGCAAAAAGAATAAAATCTCATATAAAATGGATAAAAACATTTCTGTAGAGTGACTGGGCTCACAGTTATTGATGGAGAGAGAATCTCTATTCTCTGGTGGAAGCTCCAATAAAGCTGCTGCTCCATTGCATCAGGAAAAGTCAACTGAGCTGTTTTGGGCATGTGATTAAAACGCCTCCTATAGGCACCTCCATTTGGAGGTTTTTCAAGCACATTCTACTGGGAGGAGACTTTGTGACAGGTCCAGAACTGGCTGGAGGGATTTAATGTTACACGTATCTGGCCTGGGAATGCCCTGGGATTCTCCAGTTGGAGCTGGAGAATATCATTGAGGAGAGTAAAATCTGGATATGTTGTCTCCATGACTTGACTAAGAATAAGCAAAATGGATGGATGGTAAAACCTCTAAAAATGTTGAGGTTGATTTAAACAGCAGATGTTTGATTTTGTCTTGACCCTGCTGATAAACCTGAGATAGATGCCCATTCACACTTCAGCACCACTGTTGAGCTAAACCTTCTCATCACTTTTTGTGTGTTTGGATTTACTCCCTTAGACGACTCTGTAGCTCCGATAATTCAGACCAATTCAGAAAATTGTAGCTATTTTTTTCCATCCAATTACTATCTGACTGGAGCGAGCTTGGACTTGTGGTTTTTACAAACTGATGGAGGAAGGACTCAAGTGCAGCAGGGAGTGAAAAAGGGTGTGGCACAGGAACTACTGAGAATGTAGAGGTCTCTGGAGGGCGATAAGTCAGCTTCTGATGGGAGAGGAAGCTTGCATGTGTTGTAATTACAAAGGGAGAAGCGCCGCTGCTGCTCCGTGAGGGCTTTTTGAGAGAGGTCGAGTGTGTGAGCGTGCACGCTTTCCGATGGGAGCGCAGCGAAAGAAGTCAGTTTTTCTTTTGCACATCAAATAAATCACAAGTCTACAGTTAAAATGAAGGAGGAAGGAGTGTTTGGCTTGTGGGAAAAGAGGAAGAAAGCATAGATTGTGTCACAGCTATT